GGAAGTGAGAAGTGGCGGGCATCCTCAGAAGGCTCGGAAGTCCCCCGGCCTTCTGAGAAGTTTTCTAAGCCTTCCCCGGAGACGCGGAAAACTTCTCAGAAGGCGCGAGGGTTTCTGAGAAGTCACGCCGCCTTCTGAGAAGGCCTCCTTCTCACTTCCCCCCCTCGCTCGCCGCCAGAAAAAGTGCGGACCCCGTTAGAGAGGACTTCGACGCACCCAGGCCCTCTCACGCGCAGATCCACTCATCATCAAGCGGCCTGGTCAGACTCACTCATGTCCGCGCTTGCTCGCGCGCAGACTGATGGACGCAGTGTCAGCGCGCTGGTGCACGCGCGAACTGAACGCGGAGGTTCTGCGCGGCATCTGAATTTTCTGGCGGCATCGGATTGGGCGATCCATGTGGCTGCAAGGAAGTCCCAAGCGGAATCGTCAACTTCTGCCCGCATGCATCGGGTCCACAATCATGGTTTCGAGGATGCCCCAAGCGAAATCACCACTCTCCGGTGGCTGGAAGTGGAACCCGAGAAGTTTTTTTCCGAGGAGTTCCTAGGCGAAATCACCAGTCTCTGGTGGCTGGACATGTAACCCGAGAATTTGTCCGAGGATGTCCTAGGCGAAATCGCCATTTTCCAGTTGCCAGATAAATTCTCCTGTTGCTCCGAAAAGCGACCGGAGAAGTTTTTGTTGAGGAAGTATTGGGCGGAATCGCGATTCTCCAGTCTTCACCCCATTTGGCGATTATAATATTAAAGGCCAGGATGGAGGAACCGGAGAATCGCAATCCCGCCCAATACCTCTTCCAAAAACACTCCGGTCGCCTTCCTGAGTGACCGGAGAATTCTTGGGTTGGTCCCTGCAACATTGTACCGGGGTCCCGGGGCCTAACGGGATCATCGTCGCACATCTCGCGCGACCTCTCCGGTCCGCACTTTTTAATCCAGCAGGTTGTAGTGTAAGCAGTCTGCGGGGAGTTCACGCAGCTCATGCCGCGCATCGTCTTGGTACGGCTCGGTTGCAGGGCTCCTCGGACACTTTTTTGTTGGGGGGGGGGTCTTGAAGGCATCGTTGGTTCATCTTGGTGCCGCTGGAAAGTCCTTTCGCGCTTGCGTAGATTGGTACTGGAGCTTATAGACGTCTTGGGGCGGTCTTGGGCCGTTTCGGAGTCTTCCTGGGGCGGTCTTGGGCCCATCTTTGGGGCAGTCTTTGGCGCTTTGAGGTGCGATGCCATATTAGACAGACAAGTTCGGCAAGCAACGGCAGCATGCGAAAACATGCTTGTATCTATTTCAGAGCTGGTGCATCCCAAGAACCTTGCTGGAGGGCGTTTTCTGGAGTCTCCTCGAGGCGTCTTCGTCTTTGAGTCGCTTAGGGGTTTCTCGGGGACGTCGTGGGACCTCTGAGGCGTCGTTGGGCCGTTTGGCGCTAGTATTGCAGCATCCCTCTTGGAGCGGTTGCAGGCCGCCTTAGAATCGCAGAGAAGTAAGAGGTGGCGGTTTTCGACGCCCGCGCGCGACATGGGGCGCCCACCCAAGACATCTCAAAATCTACCATCAGCAGGCACGCTTGCACTCCTCAGCGTGCTTAGGCACGTCGCGGGCACCAGGCCTCTTCCATGAGGCGGATCGAAGTTCCTCTTCATCCTCCTCCTCCTCCTCCTCCTCCTCCTCCTCCTCCTCCTCCTCCTCCTACTCCCAAGAGGCATTTCCGCTGGCTTGAATAAATTGCTCGCAGGCATAGCGCCTCGATTCGGTTGTCTGCTCAATACGGCATGCATATGTTCCACATGTCAGTGGCACCTTCGCGCCGCGCACAACCCTTGGCTGGTGCTCTCGTCGGGCTCTTACATTTGGGAGCCGCATCGCGGATCGCAGTGACTGAGTTCATAGATACAAGCGGCGATCTTCGTAGTGACTCCACACATCTGACCGGACGAGGATCCATCGTCGAGCTCGGCCTCAGCGGGGACCAGGAGGACATGTACAATGGCGTGGACGTCGCATGTTATTGCAAAGCCGTTCACGGTATCCATGAGTGCACTGACAACAAGCACCGGGCGCATCCAGAGAAGCCAAGCGGGCCGCGCTATTTCCACCCTAACGTACACACGAAAGATGGCAACATCGAGAATTTATGTTGCAAGCTCGATTGGACGTCTTTCCTCAGCTGGACTGGGTGGGATTACGAGCGGCAAGACAATATCACGCGCTGCATGGGTGAATCCCGTCCAGTTCCATCAAGCTCTTGTTGCCGGCTGAGGGACGAGCACGGTTCGTTCGGCGTCCGCATCAACAGGGCCACATCGGAAAGCGCGTATAGTAAGCAATGGCATTCTGAGGATAGGTTCTGGAAGTCACCGCCACAATTCAGCCTCGAAGACATCACAGGAGGGCAAGACTACACTGGCAAGGAGATGGCGGCCGAAGAAGTCCGAGAGTTTGTTGATGTGCAGCTCACGGATGGAGGCCGCTTCGACGGCAAACTTCGATGCGGTGGAGCAAAG